ACCACTGTGCTACCAGGGCTCCAGATAGATAGATAAAATTATAAATAATGCAACAAATCCACAAAGCAGCAAGTCTAGCTAACTGCCTTTCAATCATATATGCTGTCCAAGGAGATGAAACAATTAACAATTTTCTAAGTGTAAACACCCCTCATGCCTCTTGCCCTCCTTACACCATCCCGCCACCTTGCCTCGACAGCTGATGCTCACCCCGGGTCCAACTCTAAGCAGAAGTGCCCAAGAGGGAAGAAGGAAATGCTGGATGTATGTAGGCCTCGAATAGCAGAAACTGTGTGAGATACACCTGTAACACCGAGCCTAACGATCCCTATAAAGGATCTTATTTACCCCAAATTAGCAGTTTAAGTTATACTTTAAAGATTATTACCTTTTTAATTGCAAAATTCTATTCAGACTCACCGAAGTCTAATTAGCGTAACTAATTAGACTGTGCGCTCAGGAAACCTATCTGACAAACACCCTCGCCGAATCTCACGAACGGTAGGACGGCTCAGGAAGACAGAGCAAGTTACCAGAACAAAGACCAGCCGTGTAACGACACAAATACATGATTGAGACAGCTTTACAAGCTCCGTGTCAGATGAAAAAAGAAAGCAAATGATTAAAACGGGGTGAGAACATATAACCTTGAGCTTTGTTCTGTGCTTTGAGACCCAGGTCCAGAGACTAGCTCTTCAGTCTCCACCCCTGCCCCCTGGGGGAGTCTGTCATCACTCTGAATGCCCATCCCCCCAGGACTGTGGGGTGGGTGAGCACTCCCAGGGGCCCGCTGGGAATGAGGAGCCTGGCCTGACCATCAGGGTGCGTGCCCCGGCCACGTGGCACCTGCCTGCAGAGCCTGCAGCGCTGACCTCAGGGTTCTGGAGGGGGATGCCCCGGGCTAGGAGAGAAACAAGGGCCAGGAAGGCTCAGGGCTGGAAGGCAGCCTTGCTCGGAGGGATGGCGCAGGCCCCTCTCAAAGGCCGTCTATGTTTCCTGCTTCCCAGCCCCATGCCTGCTGACCCCTTACATACATGGGGTTTGTTTATGTCTCAGTTTCTCATTTTGTTGTTGTTGGTAGGTGCTGTTGAGTTAGTTCCAACTCATAGCGACCCGTGTACAACAGAACGAAACACTGTCTGGTCCTGCGCCACCCTCACAATCTTTGTTATGCTTGAGCCCATTGTTGCAGCCACTGTGTCAATCCATCTCATTGAAGGTCTTCCTCTTTTTCGCTGAGCCTGTACTTTACCAACCATGATGTCCTTCTCCAGGGACTGGTCCCTCCTGATAACATGTCCGAAGTATGTGAGACACAGTCTCACCATCCTCGCTTCTAAGGAGCATTCTGGCTGTACTTCTTCCAAGACAGATTTGTTCATTCTTCTGGCAGTCCATTGAATATTCAATTATCTCCACCAACACCGTAATTGAAAGGCTTCAATTCTTCTTCAGTCTTCCTTAATCATCAACCAGCTTTCACATGCATAGGAGGCGACTGAAAACATCATGGCTTGGGTCAGGCGCACCTTAGTCTTCAAGGTGACATCCTTGCTCTTCAACACTTTAAAGAGGTCTTTTGCAGCAGATTCGCCCAATGCAATGTCTTTTGATTTCTTGACTGCTGCTTCCATGGGTGTTGATTGTAGATCCAAGAAAATGAAATCCTTGACAACTTCGATCTTTTCTCTGTTTATCATGATTTTGCTTATTGGTCCAGTTGTGAGGACTTTTGTTTTCTTTATGTTGAGGTGTAATCCATACTGAAGGCTGTGGTCTTTGATCTTCCTCAGTAAGTGATTCAAGTACAGAGATCAAGGGGCAGTCATTTGAAGAGAACAAAGGGATACTGCGTGGTTTAAAGTTAGGAAAGGTGTGTGTCAGGGTTGTATTCTTTCACCACACTTATTCATTCTGCATGCTGAGCAAATAATCCGAGAAGTGGACTACATGAAGAACGGGGCATCAGGATTGGAGGAAGACTCGTTAACAACCTGCGTTAGGCAGATGACACAACCTTGCTTGTGAAAGTGAAGAGGACTTGAAGAGCAGGTAGAAATAGTTTTCTGGAAATACTAGGTTGAATAAAATATCTCCCAGTGGCTCCCGATGAACCCTCCTCCCGGTGCTCAGGCCCTTGGCTAGGCCCCTGCCGTCATGCACTCCCGTTGCTCTGTGTGACCAAGAGCACAAGGCAGCAGCGATGGCGTGTCATTTATGAAATTAGGTCACAAAGACACTGCGGCTTCCACCTGGGTCATGCTGTCTCTCATCACTCCCTCTGGGGAAGCTGGCTGCTGTGTCGTGAGCAGCCCTGTCGGGAGGCCCACCCGGGGAGGAACTGAAGCCTCGTGCCCACAGCCACATAAGCGGGCTTGGACACGGATCCTTCAGCCCCAGTCAACCTTTAGATGCAGCCCTGATCCATGCGGTCACTGCAACCTCCTGAGGGACCCAGAACCAGACCACCCAGCTAAGCTGTTCCTGGACTCCTGGCCCACAGAAACTGAGATAAAACATGTTTGCTGCGATGAGCTGCTAAATTTGACGGGTAATTTGTTACACAGCAGTAAGTAATATGACCTTTTCTTCTTTTTTTTTTTTTAATGTGGCTACTAGAAAATTTACAATAACCTTGTCCTATTTCTATTGGACAAAGCTGTCCTATGCGGCTCCAAATGCAGTGAAATCCAGTTCACAGACATCATCATTGACTTTCAAATGCAAAACATAACATCACTCCATATCACTTACATGTACTTCTTTCCAGTTTATTTAATCTTAAAATCTGGGATCAGATTAAATATTTGTAGAGAATAAGTAGTGTGGTACAGTGAATTACTTAATATGGCCCTTCTAGCCATAGTCTTTGTGACTCCCAAACAAAGAGTGGGTGGAACTATGCAAATAACGTGCTTGTGGACCACCAAGGGGATTGGACAGCCAGCTGCTAATGCAAATAAGGTGTATAGAACGTGTGACGGTTAAGGTTATGTGTCAACTTGGGTGAGCCATGATTTTCAGTGGTCTGGCAGTTATGTAATGATGCAATTTGGCAGTTATGTAATAATGTAGTCATGTTCCATTTTGTGATCTGATGTAATTGTCCTCCATTTTGTGATATGTTGTAAATCTTAGCCTCTATGACTGTGGTTATAGTCCCATTTGGTAGTGAGTTGTCTGTTATGTTAATGGGGCAGGGTTAGAGTGGGATGTATTTTGAGTCACTGTCTTATTAGAGGGTGTGACTCAAGTCCCCACCCTTAGCCCAGTCACCACCCTTACCATCCTTATTCAAGTCACACACTTACTTGAGTTACACATTTTATCTTACAAGAGATAAAAGGAGACAGAAGCATGTAGAGTAGAGGGGACCCACTACCACCAAGAAGAAGAGCTAGGAGTGAAGCGCATCATTTGGACCAGGGATCCCTATGCTGAGAACCTCCTAGACCCAGGAGACAAAGAGTTGCTGTACAACTGGAGACAGCGCAAGAAGGTAAGAAGAGGCGGTAAGCATGGCAGAGAACTGGAAGCAGCAGAATCAGAAAACCAGCATGAAATGGATGATGGGCTTCCCCAGCCAAGGAGCAAGGTAGCTACAGTGGGTATGCCAACCTACAGAGCAAGAAAGCTGAGTGCCTTCAGGCAGGAGGCTTCCTGGTGAAATGGGGTGCTCCCAGGCACTTACTGGCAGGGCTAAAGATCCCTGGTGGCACAGTGGTTAAGAGCTCGGCTGCTAACCAAATGGTCAGCAGTTTGAATCTACCAGTCACTCCCTGGAAACCCTATGGGAGCAGTTCTACTCTGTCCTATAGGGTTGCTATGAGTTGGAATCCACTCGACAGCAACAGGTTTTACAGAGCTTTGTGTAACACTTGCCCGAGCAGGGCAGAGGCCAGGCCAAGGGGCTGAGGGCCAGAGAGAGATATGCCTGTGGGCACGACTGAGAAGAGGCTGTCCTGATCAAAGAATTGTATCCTGAATTGTAACCTGTTACTTCCCTAATAAACTCCGTAACTTAAGTATGAAGTTCTGTGTGACCATTGCAACCAATTACCGAACCCAACAGAGAAGTACAGCATGCCACGGGAGGGACAGCTGGTGTCAGAACTGGTAAAAAGGTTGGAGGGTGGAGGCATGTCTGACCTCTGCCCCATAGGAGTCAGCTCTGGCCCATTGATCTTGATTCTCCTTCCCCCTTGTGAAGTTAAAGGAGGTCAGATGCCTCTGCCATGCCATTTTTACAAGCATCAAGAAAAAAAAAAACCTCTGTTAGTTTTTTTTTCTTACTCTATTTAAATGAAAACATTAGTATCGTTTTCCAATTATAAAAGGTCAACGGGAAGAACTGAGAAAGGTCAGAGAAGCCCCAAGATGGAAACAGAAATGATTTGTAAACACATCGTCAAGATGTTACCACTGTTGCTGCTTTGGTGCTTCTTCCTGCAGGTCGTTTTTCTACGTGTGGGCACATCTTATATTTTTACGTGAAATTAGATGATACATAACTTCCCTACTTTAAGTGCGCTTCTAGGCCATGACTTTTAAATGCCACTTACAAATACACAGTACGTGCGGCCGCAGCTTGCCCAGCCTGGGCCCTGCTGTTGGACAGTTTCCAGTCACTGTGGTCAGCACAACAAGGAAGACCCTGAGCGCCAACCCCAGTGTCCCCTCTGGTCGCTAGGCAGGATTCTAGGTAGCAGACTGACGGCATCGAGGCCCACGTGAGCGTTCGAGGCTCTCGGCTTGCCCCAACCCCTGCTGCCTCACCTTGATGTGCTCATGGGCACACCTGAGTGTCCCAGGCCCCGGCCCCGCCCCCTCACCTTGATGTGCTCGTGGGCACACCTGAGTGTCCCAGGCCCTGGCCCCGCCCCCTCACCTTGACGTGCTCGTGGGCACACCTGAGTGTCCCAGGCCCTGGCCCCGCCCCCTCACCTTGACATGCTCGTGGGCACACCTGAGTGTCCCAGGCCCCGGCCCCGCCCCCTCACCTTGATGTGCTCGTGGAGCTGAGCCTCGTGCTGCCGGGACAGCTGCTCGTGCTGCCGCTGGAACTCAGCGATGAGGATCTGCCGCTGGATCTGCTGCTTCTGCTTCAGGGCCAGCAGCTCCTGCTGTAGCTGCTGCTCGCGCAGGGCGGGCTCTGCCACGGGCAGCGGGAATGGTGGGTCCAGGCGCAGGTCCATGGGCACGGCTGCAGGGGCAACTTGCAGGGGCAGTGCTGTGACCGCGTCCACTGTGGGGAGGGAGAGCACAGGTGTGGTCACTGCCAGCACGCATCCCCAACCTCCCAGAGATCATGTCCACTGTGGGGAGAGAGCACAGGCCGGTCACTGTCAGCACATGTCCCCAACCTCCCAGAGATCATGTCCACTGTGGGGAGAGAGCACAGGCCGGTCACTGTCAGCACATGTCCCCAACCTCCCAGAGATCATGTCCACTGTGGGGAGAGAGCACAGGCCGGTCACTGTCAGCACATGTCCCCAACCTCCCAGAGATCATGTCCACTGTGGGGAGAGAGCACAGGCCGGTCACTGTCAGCACATGTCCCCAACCTCCCAGAGATCATGTCCACTGTGGGGAGAGAGCACAGGCCGGTCACTGCCAGCACGTGTCCCAGGCCCCCTTGCTCCGAGACCGCAGTCCAGCGCCGAGGGTGACCAGTGGCTCTGGACACTTTGCTTTCCAGACACCTCTCTCCCGCCTCTGTGCCCAAAATGCAAGGCTCAGAGACCACCGTTTCTCAAGAGCAAAAATCAAGGAAGGTCACACCAGGAGAGACACACACAGAACCCCTCCCCGCTCTGCCAAAGAAAGGGCAAGAAGACCCTGCCCTCTGCGGGGAGAAGGGAGCCCCTGCCCTCTCCGGGGAGAAGGGAGCCCCTGCCCTCTGCGGGGAGAAGGGAGCCCCTGCCCTCTCCGGGGAGAAGGCTGCCGGCGCAATAGCCCTTCCGAAAGTCAATACGGGCGACTAAAGACAAAGGCTCTAGGGAGCCAAGGAGAAAGAACTGAGTCCCAGTCAGCAGAGGCAAACCAGCTTGTCCTTTCCTTCTTTTTAATGAAGTCCCTAAAAAGTTGTGCGTATTACTCACAAGAACAGCGTGTGCCACAGAAGTGGTCCAGATAGAAGACGAGGGCCCGTTCCCATGGTGAAACGAGCGCCCTCTCAGAAAACATGTTTACCCGACTGCAGCCAATAAAATGTCCCCTGGGCTCGTCCGCCAGGCACGCTCACCAGCCCTGCGTTTGTGCTTCCCAGAGAAACGCGCCAACCAAGAACACCATGGATGATCCGGATGGGAAACAGATGCTAAATCAATCTCGACGCTGACGCACCGATACCAACGGGAGAAAAACGATTCAGAAGAAAGTAAGTTTTAAACGGTGAACATGACTCTCTTCACGATAGCTTGGTGTTTTGAAAAAGTACTTCAGTGCCTGCAGGCACGCAGGAGCCACCAAGACTGCCTCAACTAAGGCCGGTGACATGCCGGGGCGCCTTTCACACGTGCTGGCAGAATCCTGCGTGGTCCGGCAGCAGCCCGCCCGCCTGCTCCCGCCCCGTGCTGCCCCACTGCGAGGCCCACAGGCCCCAACGCTTCCAGAACGTGCCCCACCTGGTATGGTCTCCCGTCTCCCAACACCCACCAGGCCTCAGGACCGGGCAGAGGAGACTCCAGCCTTAGCAGGGAGGCCACACCCACAGAAATGGAGGCTCCCAGGGGCCTTGAAGGGTCGGCCGTGCTCCGGAGCACCCTGCAGGTCGGCTCACGTGATGGGCTGGGCCTCATCTACAGTGTCTCCCTGGGAGCCACCCACCCACCCACATGCCTAAGACCCGACCCCCCACAGAGCGGGCCTCCAGACTCCAGTGCAGGATAGCATGGGACATTCCCAGTTCCCGGGAGAAACTGTGCCCCACGGTCCCGGGCAGAGTCCCGCAGGCTCTAAGGGGCAACTGGTCCTGCTTGGAGCACTGCTGGGGTCACTGTCCAGGAGGCAGGTCCCAAGCCGCCTCAGTCCCCAGACCCCTGGAGGCCCTAGCCCCAGGAACTGTCATTCTTGGATGAGGTGGCTGGGCAGGGCTGGTGCTGGCTGAGGCTCCAGTGCCTCAGTGCGGCCCCTCAGGCCATGGGACTCGGAGCCTTGATAGCCTCCGCTGAGATGTGGTCATCACACCTGCACGGCAAGGCAGGGCTCAGACAGGCAGAGAGCCAGGGTGGTGCCTGGAATGGTGCAGGCCGGGATGCGGGGGCTCTGGGCCCCCGGGACGGAGCAGGGCCGGGATGCGGGGGCTCTGCGCTCCAGGAACGGAACGGGACCTGGATGCGGGGGCTCTGGGCCCCAGGAACTGAGCGGGGCCAGGATGTGGCGGCTTTGGGCCCCCAAGACAGAGAGGGGCCGGGATGTGGCGGCTCTTGGGTCCCCGATAGAAGCCCTAGTCTTTCTGAAGCCCCTCGTGCCCGCATCGAATCCCTGGCCTCTAACCTGGCTGTGCTGCTCACCCCTAGGCTCCTCGGGGGGTTGGGCTTCTCTGGCACACAGACAAACCAGCCCTGGCCCCCAGCTTGCTGTCTACAGGGCTGGTGGCTGACAGCAGCCATCAGAGCTGGGAGGAGCTTTGACCCGGACAGGAGGCCATGCCGCACCCCTGACAGGCTCTGATGTGTATGAGTCAAACTCCTCTCTCTCTGAGGTGGTCACCGGCCCTGGGTACATCATGTCATGGGGTTTGTGTCTCGTCTCTTCTCCCAAATCTGTGACACGCAGCCCCCCCACTTTCTGAATGTACAGTTATTTAATGACGTTAAATTAACCAACTGATACGTCCTTAACATACTAAATGGTTTTTATTTGATATTTATGTGAGAAAAGTCGAGACAAATAAACTGAGCTCTCAATGAACAGCACTGGGGAATAGTGACATCCCACCGCACACACGCACCATTAAAGGCTGGAGACTATTCATTTCCTCTACTGCGTTTTTTAAGCATTTTTATTATGAAATTTAGAAAGAGCGAGTTATAGAGAATAATACAGTGGACAAACTGTATAAACACCACCAGTTTATAAACCCGAATATTTTGCTACATTTGCCCGATGGTCTAGGATGTCTGCTGGATCTAGAATGTCTAAAATACCATGGAGGAGCAGAGAGGAGAGTCAGAGACAAGAAGCCATAGTGACCCCGCTTCTGAGACGGAGGTTCTGTTTGCGCTTTTCTTTCTCAAGGTGGGCCTGCATGACCCAGCTTCCACGTGCACAGTAGTGCTAAAAACATTTTTCAAAATTATTACTGTGACAGGGGAAGTCAGTACAACTCAACCAAGGCGAGGTCATGGAAGCTTCGTAGACACATCTAACTGCCTGAGGGACCGAACTACTGGGCTGAGGGCGGTGGGGACCATGGTCTCAGAACATCTAGCTCAACTGCCATAACATAGTTTATAAAGAAAATGTTCTACATCTGGGGTCTTCAAAGCTTGTGAGCAGCCATCTAAGATACTCCACTGGTCTCATCCCATCTGGAGCAAGGGAGAATGAAGAAAACCAAAAACACAAGGGAAAGATTAGTCCCAAGGACTAACAGACCACAACTCCCACAGCCTCCACCAGACCGAGTCCAGTACAACTAGACGGTGCCCAGCTACCACCACTGACTTCTCTGACAGGGATCACAACACAGGGTCCCGGACAGGGCTGGAGAAAAATGTAGAACAAAATTCAAACTCACAAAAAAAGACCAGACTTACTGGTCTGACAGACACTGCAGAAACCCCATAAGTATGGCCCCCGGACACCCTTTTAACTCAGTACTGAAGTCACTCCTGAGGTTCACCCTTCAGCCAAAGATTAGACAGGCCCATAAAACAAACAATACACACGGCTCATTCATGTATACGAGACTAACTGGGCACACCAGCCCAGGGGCAAGGACGAGAAGGCAGGAGGGGACAGGAAAGCTGGACGAATGGAAATGGGGAACCCAAGGTCCAGAAGGGAAGAGTGTTGCCACGTCACGGAGTTGGCAACCAATGCCACAAAACAATATGTGTATTGTTGAATGAGAAACAAATTTGCTGTGTAAGTCTTCATCTAAAGCACAATAAAAAAAAAAAGAAATTACTGTGAATGATTATCAGGTTTTATTAATTCCCCTTTCCGCATTCGTTGCTTTGATCACTAAGTTTTTCTCCTTTAAGCTGTTAATGGCTCAGTTTCTTAACAGATCACAGGTGAGTTACTTAATACATCTCCTCAGGTGAGGCCCTGCGCTTTCTGGGAGAAACCTAACCTGTATTTATGAGTCATACAACACACACGCTCTGATGGGTCTACAACGTCCAGGGGATCTAGCATGCCCAATGGTCTAGGATGTCCACTGGATCTAGAATGTC